AAAGTTAGGTGCTCCAGTGTGGATTTGACAACAGCCAGCTTGCTAAAGAGGGTCTGCCTAAGCTAACCAACAGTGAAGAGAGGGGTCTTTCTTAAACCCACCTCTCGCCAAAGTTTAGGCCCTAATTCAGGGATGCATGTAGGCACCCCTGGGATCCATCTGGGATTTCCCTCTCTGATCCTGACCTTTGTGTTCCACTCGCTCTCGGCTCTTGAGCTCTTTCTGCCCCGCATCTCATCTGGTATGTCCTGCTGCTTGATAACTCCTCATTCCTTCTTCACCGCTCATTCTCATTTTCCTGCTGCTGGCAATTGCACTGTCCTTCCTGTCAAGCAGGCTGGTTATTTTGGTGCCAGCTTAAAACCAAGGAATCTCCATCCATTGCTTCCCCCAGGTTGGTGCTGGTAAACTGTCAGTTTTTTCTCTCCAAAATGTTGCCACTGCTGCTGCCATGAATCTGGTTCTCCCTCACCTCTCATTACTGTCCTTTCTCTTCTAGCTTCCTTGACTGTTGCTGCTAGAGGTCTGCAGAAGGTCTCTTAATGGCTCCTGGTGAAATCAGTAAGAGTTAGGCACCATCTTTTAACAAATCTGACCCTTTGTCTTCTTACATGTCTGTACAGAGCCTATTTCACAGTGGCCACTGTAGACATAATTAAACACAGAATAAATGTGATGATGATTACTAAGCCTAAACTGAGAATTGTGTTTATCTTGGAAAGGAAGTCCTCTCGAGTCAGACTCCGAGTAGTAAGGATGTATCTCCATCTTTGTGCATTTTTATGGCTAAATTCTTGGCTGGTGTATTAGGTACAGCAACAGTGACTCTAGATGAGTTTTAGCCATTCGTTCCCAACAGCAAGTTTGGTTCTTAGTACATTTTTTGTGATCCAGCATACACTATGCATTATTTTGATCGCATTTGTCTTCAGAGCACTCAGCACACTAATGGCATTATAAAAATAATTCATTGTGGTAATCTGCTGAGTTTGACCAAATGGTTTGGAAAAATCTGTCTCTAATTTGTGGTGTACATTTCCTTTATATTCATCTTCCACATACATTTTCAGAGTGGATATAACTATGGAAATACTTAGTATCTCATTAATGCTTGTAGCATGATGAGGAAGAAGTTACCTTATGATTTTGCTGCCTCGAGTGAGAGACCTTTGATCTACTTGATTGCATTTAGAAAGCCATGTTCAGGATGTTGCATGGTAGGCTGATAATGAGGATTCTACTTGTAGTAATCAGCAGGGTTGTGTGTTAATATCTTGCAGGACATTTCCTGTGTTCTAGTCAAGAAGCGCTTTGAGAAGGGGTTCAGCATCAAATATGGATTTATAGACACAGAGTCCTAATTTTGCCTTTAGTTGCTGTGTGATTTAAAATCTATATTGTATTAAGGCGAGAGAAATTACATTTTTGAGGCCAGACATTGGAAGAATGATACAGCTACAGATGCCCATGACCTTTCATTAAAGACTGATTCTGCAGGGTTCCAACTGCATTTGGCAAACCTCCATCCACGCCTCTCAATTTAATATGAGGTGACAACTGGTAAACTAAATAGATCCATCACTTGCATTTCCCCTCCTTTATTATTTTATATTAAAGGAGCTGGTTGAGAACTGAAGACTAAAGTCCTTTCTTCAGCAACATGGCAGTCATAACCAGGGATCTCGGTTTTCCGTTTCCCATGGGAAAAATGGAAAAAAATGCGGATTTCCCCGTTTACCTGAGGAAAATGTGGATTTCTCATTTTAACGGAGAAACTCATAGACTTTGCAGTTTTGCAAAGAGCTCTCTGCAGGCTGGCAGAGTTCCAGCCTGGGAGGGAGCAGGAGGAGGGCAGTCAGGTAATGCATGGCCACAGGACCCCAGTGGGGAGTAGGATGGGGCTGTGGGCAGCTCGTCTAGGGGGCAGGAAGGGCAGAGCTGGCTCCCCACTGCTGCACACACTCCTGGAGGGCAGGGGGACCCATGCCCCGAAACGTGTATGTGTTCGGGGTGAGGCAGGCTGCCTACTGCAGGCTTGGACTCCCTGCCCTGCTGCCCACCCCGAGGGCCCTCTGTAGCCCAGCAGGTGTGACCTGGCGCTGCAGGGCACAGCGGGGCTGTGTGGGGAAGCTGCTTGCCGCTGTGAGCTCTGTGCTGCCCCGGCAAGGCGTCCCTTGTGCTGTGGCAGCAGCGGGGGTGGCCACGTGAGGTTATGCCCATCACTGCTACCATGCAGGCAGGTGACGCATTGCCAGGGCAGCGTAGAGCTTGCAGTGGCAAGCAGCCTTCCCACATGGCTCTGCTGTTCCCTGCAGCACTGGGTTGCATCCACTGGGCTGTGGAGGCCCAGGAGTGGGCAGCAAGGCAGGAGCCTGAGCCTGCAGCGGGCAGCCTGTGCCTGCCCCACTCGCATCTGGGGGGTGCAGGTCTCCTTCCTCCCCTCCTGAGAGTGCGCGCAGCAGTGGGGAGCCAGCCCCACCCCACCCAAGCCCGCAGTAGGCAGACAGCAGGGTGGGGGAGCTGGGCTCTGCTCCACTGCAGCAGCTGCTCCAGGAGGAGGGGGCTGTGTACCCGGGTCCCTGGCCCCATAGCCGTGGCAGCTGAGGGATCCCTCCAGTGGGGCTGGGAGGGCAGGGGGCTGTGGGTGGGGGATGAAGGGCACGAGCAGGGCCAGGGGACTGTCGGGGGGAGTGAGGGGCCTTTCATTTTAATCCCAAATTTCAGGATTTTTATCAGAGATTTTGTAATATTTTACCAGGGAAAACCAAGATCCCTGGTCATAACCAAGTCAGGAGTTAACTCTTTCTCTTATCCCCACACTGAGCTACCACCAGACCTTTTGGCACCAGGTGCCAGATGCAAGTGTAGTCTGATTTCCTAGTGCTGGTTCCTCAGTTATATTTACCTTGCCAACAGAAACTAAAATGTGACCAGCAACTCGTTCACAAAAGCCACAGAGCAGCCCCCATGAGTAAATGGTTTGAGGTCACTACCTGCATGGCCTGGATATAGAAGGCTCCAACCCCATCTTGACTTACTGCCCTGTGTCCAACAGAACGGACTGTCCTGTCGTCTTATCACGTGTGAATACTTTTAAAAATAAAAAAGGAATAAAGGCTCAAAACATTTGAGAAAGTAAAACACAGCAAACTGGCCATTGTTTAATCCTGTGGGAAATCATTAGGCTCTGTATTAGTATAAAAATGATAGGAATAGGTTTTGTCTTTTTAACCTCACTAATGACCATAATGAGTCCCCATGTGCACTGTATGGGCACAGCATTCCTGTACTGGTGCTTCACACTACTGTGCTATCCTCATTTACTTTCACAGACCAACAGCATAATCATTCTTTGTTTTTCCTAAAGGATGTGAAGACTAAACATGAGTTCGTTAATAGATTCATTGTTGGTCTCTGAGTATTACAATGCAAATGTTGTAATAAGAATGACAGGAAGGATGTGTCTCCCTGAATGAGGATATTGTATCGCATATAATTCAAGACCAAGACCTTGAAAGAGAAAACCCAACTCCCAGGTGCTTACCAAGTTCTCTGGATACTTTAGGAAAATAGCAGTGTTTGTCACTCTTTCATGCAATCCTTAACATAGGTAAACTGGACTGTATAAGGTGGAAATAGACTCTGCCAACATCAGGTTTGGACATCTGTTTATCTTGAGGCTGCCTTCACAATTTTCCACATAGCTGAAGATGGGTACTCAATGCCCATTTGAAAATGTTGCCAAGAAACCAATAACCAAATGCCAACTGTTTCTTCCTTGCCAGATACCATGGTATGCTGGAATACTATCTTGTTTGGACTGTTCCATTTGCAGGGAAGGATAAGAACCTCTTTGACTTTGCCTGTGTATGCACCAAAATTATACCACTACAAAGAGAATCGTTTCTTAAACTGATTTAATTGAACCTACCTGGACACATTTGCCTCAATTGACGTCTGGCTCGCAGGGTGTGTCCAGACAACCGCACACATGCACTTAGCGGCACCGCAAAATGCAAGCAGCACATGTGACAAGGTTCTCCATGCTACATATTTGCAGCATGGAGCCAAAATTAGATGCTGGGAAATCCTGGTATCTTAAAAAAAAAAATGGCTGCAGTATGTGCTGCCTGAAACAGGAGCCTGGCTGCTCAGAGCCATGCTGGCTGCTGGCCAGGCTCTGTGCACCTGGATCACCACCACTGTAGCCTCAAGAGGCCCTCACAACCCCAGGTAAGGCTGCTGGGGTCAGCCCAGTGCTGGCCACAGCCTCCCCTACCCACCTGGGGCAATTACAATACACCAGAGCGCATGTGCAGGGACAAGTGGCAGCAGCACAACTGTGTGCCATTGCTGTTTGTCCCTGGGAAAACTCACGTGCATGCTTGTCTGGATGCACCCATATTGTAATAAGCTATGTTGTGTTTAATGAAATGAGTTTTAAAACGGATTATTTTAAATTAAGCTCCTTTTGTGTGCAGGTGAGGCCTTTTGTCTTACCAAGGATTCAGTTTGTGGGATGATAGTAGTTTTGATCTTTCTGGGTATTTTCCTCCTCTCATTTTAAGCGCTCAGTTAAAGACACTGGCTAGGTACAGACATTACACTTTTACCAGTGTAAGTCATCAGAAACTGGCCTATACTTGTAACAGAACAGAAGATCGGCATACAAAGCAGTCCATGCCCATAACACAACAGAAGTTTGGTGCATAGACTGGATTAAAAATGGCAGAACCCAGTCAAAGATTTGCTGCCCCCCCCCCCCCCCCCCCCCCC